AAATAGAACTTATAACCAAAATTTACTAGAATTGAAATTATTTTTAATTAAAATAATATATATATGTTTTCTTGTCTTCGACCCCAACACTTGACCTGGCAAGTCGGGTCTAGGTCCAATGACATGGACCCAACTTGGATCTGGTTTGGTTGCAGCTAGGATTGAGTTTGGTTCGGATCAAATTGGAATCGACCTTAACACAAACACCGCTATCCTTAAAAAAATTTACCATTTTCAAAAGCATTCCGCACCAAGAAACCCATCCATGACTTGAAATTTTGCACGAAATTCATTTGTTATTCTTGTAATCTCTAAGCTCGGAATTAAGGATTAATATGCCATTATAGTATGCTGATGAGGATTTTGTTTGTATCAAAAAGTGTTTCTAAAAACTATGAAAATTTTCAGTTTGTTACAGCAGTTTTCAACTCACGATCAAATTAAGTGAAAGTTTAATCTTGCACTACCCTAGAGATAAGATTCTCCATAAATCTATTGCATTATAGATTGGAAATTTTATTAGCCCTATTGTAACGTTTGGCTGGCGTGAAATTGTTTTCTAGAAAATAGTTTCATAGGAAAAAAATCTCTCATATGGTTAAGTTTGTGAATATTTGCATTATAGATTGGAAATTTCATTTGCCCTATAAGTCTTTGAATAGTTTTATGTGTGTTTCTACTTCGTATGCTTGCTAAAATACATAGGTACCTACAACCAAGCCAGGTCTAGCAAATAAAATGGTGCATCCAACCGGCCAGGTCTTGGACAAAATCTATCTGAGAGAGAGAAGTGGAGTTCTGTGTTTATAGATGAAATTCCATATATCTTTCTTTCTTGCTCTCTTCGTCTCTTTGGTTTCTCATTTTACAGGGAGAAAAAAACTGCTTAGCGGTAATCTTTCCAACGGGTCTCTAAAAAAGGATCTTCTCTGATCTTAGAGACGTTCATCCAACGTTCATATAAACGTTGGTTCATTTGAATGTTGGATGTGATAATACAAGAATCCTCCCACAATTGAAGGCCTCCCAGTCCACAATTATAGGCCAAGTGACGCTACAACTTATGGCCATACCGGTTAACAATTATGACCTTGTCATGGCTTTTGCCCAAGGTATTATTTCTCTCGATTACGCGTTTTGGCATACAACATTGAAGACATGAAATTATCCTCATTAGCACAAAAAGGAGAAACAAATAAAACTCAAATGTTCGAAAATGCATCCGCTAAGTGACTGACTATAGTGGATTGAGGATGATAGGAGCCCCATGTTGTGGCTGTGTAGTGACCCTGGTTATGGGAGCATGGCGATAAGATGGAGAGAGAAGTAGACTGAAACGTTGGAGTATCATAGAGAGAGCCACTTTAGTCTGAAGAGTGGCGAAGTTGAGGCCTACACACATGCGAGGGCCAAAGCCAAATGGTATGAATGCCATTGGGCTCTTTGATGCATTCATAGCCCCTTGCGAAAAGCGTTCCGGTTTAAAGAGATGAACATCAGTTCCCCACTGTTGTGGGTCATATTGTATTGCTAAAGCTGGTATCACCACTTCAGTTCCTGATGGGATGCTAAGTTTCCCAAACTTCACCTCTCTCCTAACTTGCCTACTTATGATTGTCGCAGCAGGATACAGTCTCTGGGTCTCATTGATGATCATGTTCATCTGTCAAAAGTAAAGGAAGAAGAATCAAAGAAGGGCTAAAAGGGAAGCCAAAGTCCAAGATCTTAGATATGCAGTCCAAAACTTCAATATGAAAATTTGGGAAAAATGAATATTTGTTTAGAAAAAGAAATGAATATAGTGTATTCCGACTTAGTCCGATGAAATGAGACATAATCTACAAAGCTTAATCATGGAAAATAAGGATATATGGTAATTCTTTCGTTGTTTCTCTTTCTTCTTCTTCAATTAAAATAGTGAATGAGTGCCAATATTGGCTAGCATAAACTCTTGAACAAAATAACTCCAATTTCAACAATTTACGATCATAGTGGTATGGTAATGGGTTTACGTGGAAAAATTCAATTCCGGCCAACCTATGACACAGTATATTATCCAAATTACATTATGAAAATGATGTTGTATTGCCTCTGGAACACCTAATTTGTTGTTCCACACACACAAAAAAAAAACCCTTTTTAGAGGTGTGAGAAGTGTAAAACTCCATTTTTTGAAACATTATGATTTAGAGCACGAAGAACCCTCTTAATCCACAAGATCCAATGCACTTTAAAATATATGGTATATATATCTTCAAGCAAGTTCACTTGCCACATGTTTTGAACTCGAAATCAAATTTTTGCCTAAATTATTTTCTAGAGACAATTTTTAGAGTTTTGGATTTTTGATCTAGAGGTTTTTCGAAATCGCAACTCCTCTCCCCACACAGAACCCAAACCAACTTGCTTTCTAGGTGCATGAAACTCTTACAATGGGAATTTTGGTGGAGCACGCTATACACGTACTACCTCAGGTATAAGGGCTACTTTGGCATTATTGGAATCCACTGACGAGAACTTTAAAAGGAAATGGATTTTGAGTTCCCAGTTAGATCGGTACCTAAAAGGCACCGACTATGGTTAAGGTCGGTTTTGTGGTACTAGTAAAAAGTCGGGGACCACCAAAAATCTAAGAAGAACGATTTTTTGGTGGATTGAAATGGCAGATTTTTTAAACTGTCTAATTTTCGTCATTTTATCAATCTGAGCTTCAATACCCCATGAATATGCATGGAAATGGGGGGCTTTGATTCATTACTGAAGCCTTAAACTTTTTTCTATTTTGATTTGTTGAAAAAGATGAATTTTGGAGGTTGATTTTGGCCGAAAATGTTGCTGCTTGAAGAACTATGTTCGATGAAAAATAAATTAATTTTTTATCAATGTATTGATCGGTTTTTATTGAATTGATTAGTTAATTTTGATCGTCAGGGCTTCATCAATCAAATACATCAGATATGTTGATTTATCATTGAGTTTATTTATTTATAATGAATCTTTTTTGCTACATTTTTGTTTTGAAAATTGCTTGAAGTGAGATATCCACCATTTTTTTTTTTAAGACCGATCTCAATAGTGAATTGATCTTTAAGATATTTCAGGCATTTTAATCGTAATTGAAGTACGTGTCATATCCCCATATCAATTTGTTCAAAAAATGAAAGATTTGGGGTTGATTTTGACTCTAAAGTTTCTGTGTTCTTTGGCTCGTAGTTTTAGGGTTACGTTTAAAAAAAATTTTGTTTACTTTAAATTAAAAATTTACGTTTTTTACTTTTTTTAAATTAAAAAATTAATTAGTTTAAGT